TAAATTTTTAACAAGTTTTTCTTTTTAATCACAACCAAATATCGATATGCGCAGAAATGACATTACTTTCCGGTCTCTCTAATACATATACATATATATTTAAATATTAACAATAGACATTACAAAATATTCGGAAGGAAGCTCATTCGAACGGAATGTCGTAATTTGGGCAACCTGTTACAATATACGTTTACGATCGAAAATTTTACACCGAAATAATAATACCGTTTGATATATTTAAATTTTTAATCTCGCTAATATAACTTCTTAATTATTTATAAAAGTAACTAAAAACTTGTAAAACTTTTACTCTCGAGAGTTAAACACAGTCAACCGTAAAAATTCATCACTCAAAGGATTAAATTACTAAATCACTAAACGAGATTAAAAGTAGACGCGCGTGCGCGTTTACGTTCGCATCTTGCGAATACGCGTTTTAACAATGACGTCAGATCGAGCTCGATTCGAAATGTGGCTAACGAAGCAGTTGAAAAAGAAATCAAGCCGATAAGTTTTCCACTCCCTTACACACCACGCACGCACACACACACACACACAAACACACACACATACACACAGTTATGTACATTGTACATAAAGAATCAATCGTATCATAAAGAAGACATTTATAAAATGATTTAACGGGGAAAAAATTTATTATAGCAATTTATTTTATGAGAGAATATATTACGCTCGATTTCTCGTTGAGATGGGGTGTTTTCTTTTTTATCTATTTTCTTTTTTCTCCCTAATCATTATTTCTTTTATTTCTTTTATTTATTTATTTATTTTGATTTTTTTTTTTTTTTTTTTTTAATTTTTAGAAAAACTTTTCATAAAATAATATATCTACACGAATGTTATTCTTCGATGACGAAGGATTAATTTTGCGTGTATATAACGATCATCATTGTGTAGATCGTTACTCCTGATTTCAAATTCGAATAGACAAGATCGAAAATTGTAATGTAGGTCAAGGCGAAATGGAGAAGCAGCGCTCTCGGGTACGGCTTCCGGCCACGCGAACACCAAACACGTAATTACGCGAAGGAAATTTAAAACGTTTATTATATTAAACTGACTTTTGGTGTTACAGATTACATTTCGATATAATTACGAACATGCGAGTATAATGCCATTCAAATGTGCCAAGCTTTAAGATAGTAAGACCCCCTCTTTCGGAATCTACGCAGTTCTATTTCCATGATATTTCAAGAAAATTAAAAAGAATAAAAAGAATAAAAAGAAGAAGAAGAAAAAGAAGAAGAAATAAAAGCACTAAAACTAAAAGCTGAATTTGAAACGAGTTGCAAGTTTACTTTAGAGAACGTAGAAAATAAACATATATGTGTATATATATATGTATATATTATATATATATACACGTTCACGTAGGATATATACTTACGAATAGACATACGTTCATCATTGAAGTACTTCCCTTTTAAAATCATTTTTTCTGTTTTCCTTCGTTGCAAAACTTTTATGACCGAGAAATATATCTTAGTAAAGTGAATGAAAGAGAGAGAGAGAGAGAGAGAGAGAGAGAGAGAAAGAAAGAGAAAAAGAGAGAAAAAGACAAAGAGAGAGAGAGAGAGAGAGAGAGAGAGAGAGAGAGAAATCGATAAAGATAGAGAGAAAAAGAATGGTGTATACCCAAGAAAAAAAGAAAGCTTTTTGCTCAGCATCTCTTCTCTATCCTTTTCACGTTGATCACGTTGATTTTTATTATAACCTTTCTTCGTTGTTACCATTTGCCATTTTAAGTTAACTCTATCGCTTATATCATCAAGAAACTTTGTGCGAAGTCGTTTCATTGCGAGAAATAATATTTCATTAATTTAAAAATAAAAGACAAAACTTAGATATATGTATATGTATCCATATATGCACATATATAAAATATTCATATATATACAAATATGCAAAATATATCGATATATATAAATATATATCGAAAAATTATAAAAAATGGAACATCAATCAAATAAGATTTCATATTATACTTAAATGTGAAACTTTCACAAAAGAAACTTTTAATTAATATTAAACATACGCGTATGTATGTACGTACGTATATACGTATGTATATACATCTATATACTTACGAGACTTGGATACAATTGCGAAATTCCAAATTAATTAGCATTAATCCTTTCCTTTTTCTATTAAACTATGAATTCGTAAGAAGAAAGAAAAAGTAAAAAAGATTAAAAAAAAAAAAAAAAGAAAAAAAGAACGAAAGAAAAAGAGACAGAGAAAAAGTGTGATTCTCCGATTTGAAAAGTCAGTCCAAAATTCTCTTTGTCGAATAAAATGCGCAGAGCTTCCTTTATATGCGGGTGATATTTAACAATGGAAAAAAAGAAAAAAGGATAAAAAAAAAGAAAAAAAAGGAGAAAAAAATTAAAACGAAAAAAAAAAAATATAATAAAAGAAAGGAAGAAAGAAATTCTATTAAACCGATCACACCATTGAAATTTGAAACGTAACGCGAAATCACAGGAATCATCATTCTCGAAAAATTAACCGATCGAAATCGAATTGTGTTTCTTCGAATGAATCGATGAAACTTCAGATTTTTTTTTTTTTGTTCGCGATGTACTACAAAAGTGGATTTTAAACAAATCAAATATGATCGGAACTCGGAACGAATAGTTACGGTTCGACGAACAATGTACGAGAGATCGCAATTATATTGATCTTTTATGGCGATTTTAAAAACGTGTCTTTATACATATATGTATATATATATATATATGTATATGTATATATTTTATTCGTTCCTCGATATCGAAAATAATTCGACGTGAAAAAATTCAATTTGGTTCTAGCTCATTGAAAAAAAAAAAAAAAAAAAAGAAAAAAAAAAAAGGAAAGAAATAAAAGACGAAATTAATAAATCCTCGGGGGTATAATCCTTTTTTACCCCGAGGAAGAAGGATTTTCACGAATAATCTAACATTACGAAAGATTCGAAATAATCGCTTATGGATACTCTCTAAATTGGAATTAAATTAATTCTAAACAATAGCCAAGCAAATGAGCATTTCTTTGGATAATAGTATTAGAGCAGATATTGCCAGAGGCAATGCAGTTAAAGTTCCAGTTACATGCATGCCTTAGTAATAGCTATTACGAGTGAATACACCTCAACTCTATCTCTCTCTCTATCTATCTCTTTATCTCTCTATCTCTCTCTCTCTCTCTCTCTCTCTCTCTTTCTCTCTTTGTCTCTCTCTCTCTCTCCCTCTCTCTTTCTCTCTCTCTCTATTTCTCTCTCTTTCTTTGCCTCTCTCAGTTAACGTAGTAAATATACAGAATAACATAATACCATCGTCTATATGAAGCTGCTGTTCACCGATTCTATTATCCGTAATACGGAATCATAATGTATTCTTTCTAAAAAGACTATCAGTATATTGTATAAAGCTAAAGCAAAAACAATATCACAGAAAGATTAAGATGATCAATTTATCTCGATAAATCCCAACGATATTACATTATATATTTTCCAATATATATTTATAATATATATATATATATATATATATATATATTATGAAAGCTAATGATAAAGCGCATGCATTATTTGACAAGTCATGAAAATGATAAAATTCTAATGATACGAATGAGTTAAGAAGCACGATATATTATCTCGATATATTACGAGAAAAGCAATTGTTCGTTCTCTTTTTTTTTTTTTTTTTTTTAATTAGCGTGCTGAAAGAATACGAAAGACTCGAAAGCAATGTGCCATCTACTCTTGTAGATATACATATAAAGCTAAAGAGTTATACCCAGTGAACTTACAAATCACTTCGACGAGGACACATGGCCAACGGGGCAACGACCAGGGGGGAGGCTAAAAGTCATCGACAATCGACTACTCACTCTAAAAAAACTTCGGATTCGCTTCGGGGCAACACCAACCTAGGCAAGACGATGGCCTTCTTCCTCCTGCTCTTCAAAGTCTGCGCGGAGAATTGAAATTCCGTTGAGTTAATAGGTGAATGAGGACTAAGTATAGTGATCTTTCGATCGCTGCCACCGGGACTTGTCAATGAGAAAACGTTTGACGGCGGTGGAAGGCTTAAATGTTGAGGTAATTTTCTTTCGAGCCCTGTATTTGCAAAAAGTCCACGACGGACCTCGGCGTTCAAGCTTTCCTCGCGATGAAGATTTTCGCTGCTTTTAGACTCGACTTGAGTTATAATCCTACGCACGTCCTTGCTCGATGACGTTAAGAAACTACGATAGTGACTTTTTGAAGTTGTCAAATGGGTTTCCGATGAGGAGGACAAAGATTCTAAAGACTTTCGCTCGTCGCTGTAACGATCGTCGGCACTGAGAAAGTTTCTCGAGGAACGTAAGCTTTCCATTGATCTTGCTGTCACTTGTCCACTACTACCATCAGCTGTTAAAAGATGTTGTTGTTGTTGTTGTTGTTGTTGTTGTTGTTGTTGTTGCAGATGATGATGTCTTTGCAATCTAGACAAACTTTTCACTTCAGGCTCATAATCTTCCTGACTTGAACTGGATTGCGGACTTCGTCTACTCATGAAAAGACCCAGTCTAGTGCCGGAGTATCTACTACTGGTGTTATGTGTCATGTCCTCCTCGTTAACACAGATCGTCGTCGATGAAAAACGATGACTACTCTTTTGATGACCCATCAAAAGCGACTCGGCTTCTTCAGGAAGATCAACGGAGTGTCTGTCCGTTCCGGATATCCTATTGCCTTTCTCATCGATCACAAGTGGCTCGGGACATTCCTCGTCCTTAGGTATATTCTCGACCTCGTTCTCGGAAGCATATTCCATCGTGTCGGATTCATCGGCCGAGTCTTGTCTACGAATAGTGATCTGACCTCCGGAAAATGTTCTAGCTGACGTATATGCCTGCGCGTTTATTATCTTTCTCGTTGTCGACATAGTTTTTTTCTTTATCAATTTGTTGGTCAAAGTTACCGGCATATCCTCTGTATCATCCTCTTCCATCTCGATAAGATTTATTTCTTTCTCTCTCTCGCTCTCTCAATGTTTGTTTTTATTTCTCTCTCTCTCTCTCTCTCTCTCTTTCAATTTACGAAAATACTCTCAAGATCCTCTATTACTTGGATTAATATGAAATTTTAATGATTGGACCAATGAGAGAGGATCGGTTTTAAAGAGATTTAAAGGAAGGGATGAAGTTAAGTCTTAGTTCGTCAGAAAATCATCGCGGCAATTAAATCTTTTCATTCATTTTGATATATCTTCGATTAAAATCACTTGCCATCGAACGACTTGAATGTTACTTTTGAATGAAAAATTTTAAATCAGATTTGGCTTCCTCTTCTTCGATTTACATGGCTTCTTAATTGTTCAGAACTGCTCTTTTCACTTTTTTGTTTAGCACATCTTGCAAATCCTTGATCGAGACGACAACGACGACGACGACGACGACGACGACGAAGCTGAAAGTCAAGGATATTTTACCAGACTGTTTCAAGAATACGAACAACGAGTCGAAACACTTGGAATCACAGGAACGTAACGGCCTTTGTATAATTACTTTGCAAACTATACCACGGTTAACTTTGTATGGTATCTTTCGGGAGATGAACCGTACTTCTTAAGAAAGTTTATAGTTCGAATCAAACAAGAATAATCCCATGGAAACTCAATGTCCTATTTGATTAATGAATCTTAGCTATAAACGTGTGTATCTGTATTTATAATGAAGAATTATCTAAAGCAAATAAATCTGGAATTAACGTATAAACTCTTTTCAAGAAGGAAAAATTTCTAATTAAAAATTTATATACATAATTATCTGAAATAAATCGATCAACGATCAATCATACTGAAAATTCGAGAGAGTGAAAAATTAAAAAAAAAAAGAGAATCTAATATACACATTTCAACCCTCCTTTTTTTCGCAAATGAAAAGAAAGAAAGAAAAAGAAAAAAAGAAAAAAAGAAGAAAAGAAAGAAGAAAAGGAAAATATCATTTTCTCGCGTGCTTTTCGTTAGGAAAAGATAAGAAAAGCTTAGAATCCTTCTAATCACCTTTTTTATTCCCTTCCTTAATTATCGCTATCGTCCCTATCCTTAGCACGCATCTGAAATAAATAGACTTTTCGTTTCCTGTTTCAAGGAGAACTCAAATATCTCTCGGCATCCTCGAATCACGTTATCGCGTGACTGGCACGAAGCCCTTTTTAAAATACTCTACGAAGTTACACGGCAATTCTCCCTGATCCTTCTTCCTCCCATAAACTGACTTTAATCGTTCTTGTTCTATCAATAGCTCAATCTCCTTTCTCATAGAATAATGTTTTACGCATTTCCAAAGTTCTATCTTCTATTTCAAAGTTCTGAAATTTTCGCAGCTATTACGTAATAAGTTCAATTATTATTATTATCCCTAAGATAACAAAAAGAATTACTTTCGTATGGGACCTACGTGAAAATTCAATTAAATTAAACGTAATGATTAGATAACATGACTTAAGACATTGTTACGTTTACATTGTTAATTCGTAACAGCTGGTTTTGACAACGTATCACATGTACAACAACGCCTCGTAATTGTTCTTTTTTTTTTTTTTCTCTCCACCAAAATCACCTATGTAGCAACATAATAGAAGACGAAATTCTAACGGATTTAAAAATAAATCAAAAGAAAGGGATAATGTATGAATGAAACATAATCGAGTTCAACGATTCAACGTAATAATTCAAGCGTGTAATTCCATGATTCATGTACGTATCTCTTTCACGTGAGATTCGAATGGATTCGTTCGTAACAATGGCTGCGCGTGAAACAATGAAAACAATGAGAGAGAGAGAGAGAGAGAGAGAGAGAGAACGACGTCTTATGTTCCTATGGTCACACACATACTGTATATTTTTATTCTTTTATCTTTTATTTTTACAAAGTAAAAGAAATGAAAGAAGAAAAGAAAGTTTTAAAGCAGACGAGTTCGTAAAAAAAAAAAAAAAAAAATAAAGTAACAAAAAACTACTGAACGTCTACTACTCTAACGGATGGCTCCTAGGAGATACTTCTCCGAACTTATGTGAACGAAGATCTCTCAAGAGAGTTGCCGATAATATCGTAACTTTAATGTACGATATTATGTATAAAAGTAATGCTAACCTTCATCCCTCTTGTCCTATCGAATTGAATTTGAAATCTGAAAGAGTTTAAAATGATATCGCTTTTGTAAAATGTTTTCTTTTTTGTGAATGAATTTGATGAAATTTAAATACGTTCGAAAAAATGTTCGATCGAGATTATATCTGCTCGAAGGACAACTCTGATAGACCGATTGACTGTGATTGTTTTCGATATCCCAATGGAATACGTATTTTCGATTTTATTTTATTTTATTTTATATATACAAAAAACGATTAACTCTTGTTTACGTCGATTTCGTACGTTTTTATTTACGATCTTTTCTTTATATGTATATATATATATATATATATATATATATATATATATTATTTTTCAGGATAAGACACTTAAATTATTTTGCAAGTTCAAAAATATACATACATGGATACGTGTTATTACATTTCATACTCCAAAATAAATATTATTATCGATTTAAAAATAAATGAAATCGTACGACGAAAGGATAAATATACAATTTTTTAATTTAATCCTTAAATGCATATATGACTTTATTTTTAAATGAATATATATACAGAATAAAAATATATTAATGTTTAATACAATTCAATTGGATCATTTAATATGTATGTGAAACAATTTAATTTTTCATTAAATTTCGTTTATTTCGAAATTATCATTACGTTGTTCTTCAATTCTTTCGACGATAATATTTTCTCAAATACAACAGATATATAAGTTTTCTAATCGTCGTTTTGAAAGAAATAAAAAAAAAAAAAAAAAGAAAAAAAAAAAAAAAAAAAAAAAAGAAAAAATAAAAATTATATATCACGCACCTTAACAGGGCTTAACATTTATTTCCTTTTCATTTTTCTTTAAGAGAGGAAAAAAGAAAAAAAAAAAAAAAAAGAAAAAAAAAGGAAAAGAAAAAATAAATCCTAACATCGTATGACAACAAAAGACGTTTCTCGTATTCAACGTAAACATGATTTAGCATGACGCGTCGATTATAAGCGTGAAACTCATTTAATCGATTTAACAGGATACCTTTTTAAAAAGTCAACACACCCTTTTTTAAATTTACGCCTTACGCGAGAAGCACTTTCCTATTAATATCCTTTCGAGTTATAAGAAGAATGAGAGTTAGTAAAGAGGCCGAGAGAGTATGATATACGAATCGCTTCGATTTCTTTCATAACGAGCACATTTGTGGAAAAGCGTGGAATTCAATCGCGATAATTCTCATTCGTGTATAAAAAAAAAAAAAAACATAAAGAAAAAGTTGATAAAGATTAGATCGACCGATAGAAATTGTAACGGCATCAAACAAAATGAACATACATTATTTTGTATTGTTGGCGAGTGATGTTATCACCTTAACCTAGTACCACAACCTATAGAATTACGACGTTTCTTAAATTAACGCGAGGTTAACGTTTTTCTTTTTTTTTTTTCTTTTTCTTTGTTTCTTTTCCTTTCTCTTTTTATTTATCTCGAAAAAATTGACCAAACATTTTGCCAAGAAAATTTGCCAAATAATTTCTCTTAGCCGACATGAATCGCGACCACGACCTTTACCGATTTAACTAATTTAAAGCTTTGGCAAAACCATCTACCTAACTACCTACCTATCTACCTACCTCTCTCTCTCTCTCTCTCTCTCTCTCGCTCTCTCTCTCTCTTTCTCTTTGATGCTAATTTATCTTGTATTTAACTTTGCCAATTTAACATTGTATTTTCGTTCGAACGGAATCATCCAAGTGGAACGTACGCAATCGCATCCTAAATTCAAATATTCGATATAAAAGAGACAAATACATATGTATGTTTGTCTGTGGAAATGCGTATGCCCTTTTAGAAATATTTGAAATATTTAACTGTAACGTAGACGCATTATTGAAAATAATGAGACGAAGGTTGTTCAATGAATATCGTATTAACGATAAACACCCTAAATATTCAGGGACGTGTTACCTCGATTTATTCGTCAAAACGATTAAGGTGAATAGGTAGTTGTCGTAGATAGGTATGTAGGTAGGTAGGTAGGTAGGTAGGTATTTAGGTAAGTAGAGAGTTCGCGAATAAGGGTCGATCGACTCCGAGGTCAACGACGACGAGAGCGATTCATCGAGTTCACCTGAGTGGAAGGATACGTGCGACACGATAAAGGCAGACACGATACGTACTACGTACTTAGATAGATTAGGTACAGAGTTATGTGAATGCATAGATACATAAAATACATACAGAGATACATAAATGAATATGTATATCTGTATATCTATATAATTGTATTATACGTACATACATAGTTATATCCGTCTATCTAATATATTGAAATCAGGAAGAAATGGATCGAAATGGCGAGGTCGTACTTTATCGATATAAAGATTCTCTCGGGTTCGTTGCTTCCGGTTTAAATGGATGTCAGATAATTTAATGACTTCATCGATTCCACCGGAACACCAGCAACCCTGTCTACCTACTTTGGTTTACCTAGATTGCCAAAGTTCTAGGTCAAGCAATCCCGTCGCTTCACGGACTGGAATCAATTAACCCTTAACAATTACTTTAGCTAATGTCAAAACGATCCGTTTTTGTGTTACATTTCTATGTCCAAACTTTACTTCTATCGACATCTTATCTACCAATTTACGTCTATCCTATTATAATCCCATGGGAATTTATTTGAATTTGTATTCGTAGTTTATAATTTTCAGGGAGATAAAAAGAAAGAGAGAGATAAAGAGATATATAGATAGATAGATAGATAGATAGAGAGAGAGAGAGAGAGAGAGAGAGAGAGATAATCATATAGTAATTTTATATAATCCCGTTTAGTTTTCTCTACTTAGTATCCTTTATAAGAAACTGT